TGAACCCCAAAGGCAAAGCTTTTCGTGTGAGATGACTTAAATGATGAGCCCCAAAAGCATTATCCATTCCAAATGAATGGTATTCCAAATATATTTCATGATTACATCGACGCTATACATGATGTAGAAGGTGATGGAAATTGTGGGTTTCGAGCGGTTGCTGTTTGTTTGGGGTATAATGAAGACCAGTGGCTTTATATTCGAAAACAGTTGATTAAAGAGTTAGAGAGTCAATATTACGCATATCATAGAGTTTTTACTGACGGGTTCAATGATGTATACCAGTCATTACGTTGGTTTCAGTCACCTACACCTTTCTAGCAACATTGGTTGCATATGCCTTTGACTGGTTACTTGAGTGCCAACAAGTTTGGTGTGATCGTTCATTGTTTAAGCCACGAACAATCTATGACATGCTTCCCTCTTTGGAGAGGTCCCGAAGAGTTCCAACCCCACTGAGCTATTACGTTGGTACTTGTAAACGGTATTCATTATATGTCGGTGTTTTTGAAAAGGAATTACCCAATGCCTCCTACCATAACATATTGGAATTTCCCATTAAAGTCTCTCTGCATCTAGATGGCAAACTATGTATTGGCCGCGTTTTGATTTATACAATCAACTTAGGTCTCGTACTTCTGAAACACTTTGCGAATGTATTTGATTTTTTTTATTATTTGTTGCGCCAAAATATTATTTTATTATTCATTCTTAAATTTTATGCAAAAATCGAACAATTTAATGCATTAAACTAGACTATTGAAAGATATAAAACAAAAAAATATATGTACGTTTTTAACATAATAAATTAATTAAAATCTGTTCAAATTCTATTGAAAATGGACCGGTAACAATCCAATTAATTTGTTTGCGATGCCTACCTATTATAACTTTGTAACTACAAATAATATCTATAAAATCACCATTTGATTATAATAAAAAAAAGTCAAACGAATAACTAATGAGACTATTCACAATATTACATTTTACTTTCTCATTGTGCGTTTTTATGAAATTGATATTTATATTATGTTTTAAACTAATATATGAAAACCGTTATTAATTTTCAATATTTTTTAATAACACAAAAGAAAAATGTAAATAAAAGAAAAATGTAAACAGCAAGTATTATATATGTCATCATGACTTAATTATAAAAAGTAATAAGTAGTAATTAGTGAAAATATATCATCATAATTTAATTATTGAAAATTAATGATTAAAGG